TGATGTGGCCTTTGCCTTGAGCATGGTCAGCAGATATCAAGGGAACCCTGGCAAGGCTCACTGGACTGTGGTGAAGAACATTCTTAAGTACCTGCGGAGGACTAAGGACTGATTCCTTACACTCGGTGGGAGTGATGACTTGAGAGTGGTGGGTTATAGTGACTTTAACTTTCAGACTGATAGGGATAATTTCCGCTCTCAGTCAGGCTGGGTCTTTACCATGAATGGAGGAGCAATTACTTGGAAAAGTTCCAAGCAGCTGACAATAGCTGATTCTACTTGTGAATCAGAGTAAATAGCAGCAAGCGAGGCGGCAAAGGAGGCGATATGGATGAAAAACTTCATTGGAGACCTTGGAGTTGTACCAGATATAAAGGATCCCATAGAGATTTTCTGTGATAGCGAGAGTGCAGTTGCCTTAGCCAATGAACCAAGGGATCACGGCAGGTCTAGGCACATCGACAGAAAATACCATTTCATTAGACATCGTATAGAAGAAGGAATCCTCGTGGCAAAGAGGGTATCATCAGATGAGAACCCAGCAGATCCCCTCACGAAGGGACTGAGTAGGGTTAAGCATATACAGCATGCGAGGCGCATCGGGCTGAAGGATGATATTAATTTAGTAATTAGATAGCTTTCGAAACTTGTAATAGTTGAAATGTAATTGACATTTGATGTTTAAATAAAAGGTGTTTTTTATTTACTAGTATGGTATTGTCTTGTGTCAATCATTTACTATTGCTTCATTTTGCATGTTTTGACTTCCAGAATAATTTTATTATTCAAACTATCCACAGTCGATCATAATTTGGAAGTAGGTATTGAAATAAGACTGTCAATAATTGGGTTTGTAGATTTGTCTAAATTTTATTAGACATAGCAATGGTTGCTGCAACATTCATGAGTGCTCATAAGTTCTGAGTATTGGATTCAACCCACGCTCATTTGTATCACTTCATGGAATTCATCTCTAGTGATCGTGAGACGGTAATATCATATGCGTCTTCAATCCAAGAGATATGAGTTGTTAAACTATGAGTTGGTTGTACATTGATAGTACGAAAACGCATCAGTAACTTGATGCTATAAAACGTGCTGTTGTGTACAATTTGATGAATAGTTACTACAAGCATATGAGTCGAAGCTTATATGTTCCTTCTATTCCTTGGAGGATTAGAAGCGATATTTCGGGCCCCTCGATGATTTTGTTTTGACTTTTGTGTCGGGCCCGGTCAGAACTAAATTGATGTGTTCGATTAAGTTCTATGTCAAAACAAATCAGAAATCGGGAAACAAACTGCTAGACAATAAGTACGACGGTGTTCCATGTATTTGTCCAGCTGATATCTTGAGAACATAGGATTATATGATCACTTATCTTAAATGGCGCATCGTCCTAGTTCCACGAGACTTTGAAAGAGATACGATTGTTGGTCGGATTCTGAAGTCATACCTGTAACAATAGTTATCAGACTTATCCAAGTGGGAGACTGTTGGATATAGTGTCTAAGTCCATAACTATATTTGGTATGTACTTGACCCGACTTGGCATGGTCCATTTGGGTTGCATGGCATCACAACAATTGGATAGACAAAATGAGAAAAAAGGACACTTATGATTTATTAATATATTATAAGTTCTAATATATTAATACGAAATCATATTATTTAATTAGTATTGATCAAGAATTAATTTGGAATTAATTTTGTGATCAAAAGGAGACTATTTAAATGTATGAGGATTGATTGTGTAAATCATTCATTCTTATATAATGGGCTTATGATCCATGGTTCATAAGATTGGGCTAAAACCCATAGGGTGCTCCATGGAGGTTAAAACCCATGAATCATGGAGTAAGTGAAAGGTCATGCACATTAGGGTTAGCATGGTGTAACCCTAATTGCATGACATTATAAGGAGCCTCATATGGAGCAAAATCGGCACTTAGACTAAAAGAGAGAGGGCTAGCCGAATTTGTGATACAAGTGTTCTATTCTCAAGTTATTCCAAGAGTTTTGGTGTTGTGTGAAACATTTGAGGCATCACACTTGGGGTGCTAGGCTCACAAGTTCTTAAGGAATCAAACAACAAGAAAAGGTATGTCATTCTACTAGTTTTATATTACATATACCTCATGATATTCTAGATAGGATGAAACCTTAGAAAAATCAATATTTGCATGTATAATAGAGAAAACATAGATCCAAGGTTTCTAGGGTTGCATGTACACCATATGAGTGTTAGAATGCTCAAAACCCAACAGAATGATGGGCAATTGTTAGTCTTTTTCTTTGATTTAGCATTGAATCATTGAATTTGCTTAGAACAAGAGCTTTATGATGGTATAAATCATCTCTAGCTTATGGATCATGACTCCTTTATGGATGTGTAAGCATTGACGTCCTCCAGGAATTAGGAATTCTTTCATTCTTAAGGCTAATCAATTCTATTGAGTTTAGTTGCTTCAATTGGGTTCTTGATTATGATTAAGAAGGTTTGTTGTGGGCTTCCCCAACCTCCATACTACCTTTGAGGAATTTTGGCATATCATGCTTCATGATTGCATTAACCAATTTGGGTTGAATGATAAGCTTACCTATTATAACATCCCAAAAATCATAGTAAGAAAATTTCATTTTTAAAACCCTTTAATAATCCATAAACCATACAAAAACATTTATTTTCAAGAACATAGTCAAAGTCAGAGTATCCCAAAATCATCAATCAACAAAATATCCAAGGATGATGTGCACAATCATGCCTTCGCCTTGCTCCGATCCTCTGATGTACCTGAAACCATGAAATCAAACTGTAATTCAAAGCTTAGTGAGTTCCCCCCAAAATACCTCACACCACAAAACATATATAAACATGTATGTTGGGTCCACAGTCTCCCGACTGGATTACCCCTGGCCCACAGTCTCCCGACTGGATTGCCTCTGGCCCACAGTCTCCCGACTAGATTTCTCCTGGGTTTGTTGTCCTATAGCACAAAGCAAGACCGCCTCAACCCACCCGCACTATGTTGACATATGCAACAGATACAAATAAAAATATAACCAGTAAGTGCATGTAATTATACAAATCTATCAGTCTAACAGTTCACTACAGCATAGCAGCAACCTATATACCAAGGTACATGAAAAAACCTAGTGGGTCGGCATTGGTGCCTTCGACCCACGAGTACAATGAGGAAAAACTCACCACAAAGTCTAGAAGATAGTTGAACTGATCACTGTTCCAAATATCAACTCTATAAGTCACCTAAACATCAAAATAGGGACCAAGCCTCAATCTAATATTAAAGTTACCCCATTTGACCTAAAGTCAAACTTGGTCAAAGTCAACGGTCAACGGTCAAAAGTCAATGGTCAACATCAGCCAGGTTACGCTATGCGTAATAGCTCTACGCCCTCCGTAGAGCATCAAGTGGCTTTTATGGGATAAAACAAGGCTAGGTGCAGCGTAGCCATAATTACGCCATGCGTACTACGCTGATAAGCACTATTCTCATTAAGTTCTACATAAGATTATACCACCAAAACTTCCAGATCCAAGCTAAATGAACGTCTTAATGGATAAAGTCTCTAGCTTTATCCATTTGCATGCATCTTAAGGACACCAAACCAAACCCTAGGTCCAAAAAGCCATCCATTGTCTAAAAACTCATGCATGGGGAAATGAGAGTGACCAAGCTCTCATTTTTATGTCTTAACAACTCCAAAACCGACTGGAAAAGATACCCTAATGGCCAAGGGTAATACCCATAAGAACCAAAGTTATGGGGACAAAACATGGGAATTCTTAAGCATGAACTAGATCTATCATAAAAACTCATAAATGTGGAGACTTTATACCTCCTGGAGATGTATGAGGGGAAAAGGACTTCCAAATTCAAGGTTGATTCAAGCTTCTAAGCAATTTCACCACCTTCTTTTTGTCAAAAGCACGCAAAAGCACTCTTTAAGCTCACAATGCACCAAAAATAGAATTATGGTTCAAAGGAAACGATTGGGGGAATGGAGGTTGTGAATAGAAGGGTCTCATGAGAGTTAGAACCCTTAAATTGGGCTCAGAACCCCGAAATTAAGGTTTGGACTTTGGGCAAGTACGTGTTGCGTACCAAGATCTACGCCTTGCATAAATCATTAAAACCTCGACTCCAAGATTTCTTCTACGTAACGAATAGTTTCCAATATCTAAAAAAAATGTTTGAAGTCATTTTTTGGATTATTATTTTTTTGTTATATAAAAAATTTAATCCAAATGTTTCATTTATTCAAGCTTTTATTATTAAACTAAAAACTAAAATCACATTGCCAAACACACCAATAAATAACGAATCATTATAAATAAATAAAAAATAGCAATTTTTAAGGGAAACGCATGATTTCGCAAGTTATAGTATATAGTAAATAAAAGAAAATATTATGATCACAAAAGTATAATATAATTTATTTCAAAGAACCATTTTGGTACAACTAGAATTAAGTATTTTCACTTAAATATTTCAAATTTTAGAATATTAAGGTTGTGTTTGACACAAAACATTTGAGAACGTTTGTAAGCTTCTACCTTCTAGCGTTTGACAAAATATTTCGTTTTGAATAAAAATTTTTGTTTAAAACTACAAGCTTATAGCTTTTAGGTAAAACAAAACTACTCAAATTTAATAATTATCTCATGTAGTTTTTTAACAAAACGGTATAGCTACCACCTACCCCTAGTTTTGCAAAAGACGTCCTTCATTAATTCTTTTACATTAAGTTAAGATGGAAAATATAATTCAATCAAAGATTACAAATGATTATACGATCTGATCCAAAATCCAAACTAACCAAATTAAGAAACATTTAAACCAAATTGAATTTTAAAATTTCCTTTTCTATCACAAAATTGAAAATCCCAATGAAATAGTCTTTCAATCGAATACTACTAGATAATTAAACCTATAAACTAAATTATTCTAAGTTTGTATAATTTTTTATTTGTATATGGGATTAGATAATAAAAAAAATAAGCAAAAGAAATTAAAGAAACATATCTCAATCTCAATCTCAATCTTCCCTTGTAATATCAATTACCAAATTGCCCTTGTAACCCATCCAACCAATCAAATAAAAAAACTCCTACAATTTCTGTACACAGCTGTCAAAGAATCTCTGAATCACGATGTACCCTAGAAATTAAAATCTTAATAAAGTTACACAAAAAAGTTTTTTTGTTCCAATTTTTATTTAATTTTAATGAAATTAAATGAAATAATTGGAATACCCAACGAAATTGAAAGATCCAACGGCTGATTGATGACGGTGATGATTACGTTTGTAAAGATCGTACGGCTCCCACAGATGATCCAACGGACACGGTCTCTTCTCATCCAGTCTCACCCACGGTTTCCCTTTACCACTCCAATGCAACAAGCTCACCGGACCGGAATGCAGCGACCGGCAGCTTCCTTTCACATTATCTCCGCCGAGGCCGTGTTGGTTCCACCGGTGGTGGATCGGCTCAATGTTGCCGCCGAAAACCAGTAAGAACGGCGGCAAAGAACCCAATTCATAGATTCGTTTCTTTCTTTGGAGTTCCATCCAGTTCTCGATCCTTTTCCGGTAATTCCCTTTTCGCCATTTTTCCATGTCCATTACCATTACGCCGGTGTTGAAGTAACAGGGTTTTCTCGACCCGAATACCCCGGGACATCATCGGGTCGGACCAGAAGCTATCGGTGAAGTACTTGGTGAAGTTTGTATGGCAATACTCCGGTGCTCCGATGATCCTGTTCTTCTGCAAGGTGATGTTCCAGAGCTTCTGAATGTCGTCGACGATAACGACGTCGGAATCGAGGTAAATGACGCGATCTACATACGGGTCGAGGATATCGCCGAGATAGTTTCGGGCGTAGTTCAACGGGTTCTCGAGTGCGATCCGGATCGAAGACGAGATCAGATTTATGACTGTGTCTTCACGGAAGATATACACCTTGAAGTTAAGCGAAGGGAAAGTAGATCTGACGAGTCGGGTCAAATCCCTTGGACTCGCCGGGTCGAACTCCGCCGCGATGAAATGGAAAACACGTTTTCCGGACAAGAAGCGTGACGGAGAACGGAGTGTACGGCGGCTATTGAACCACGTAAGTACTCCAAGTCGATCGTCATTGCGACGTGAATGCTATCGCGTGAGCAGCCTACGCCGTTTCGGTATTCCGGCGCTTCAGTGTATCCAAACAGAACATCAGATCCCGAATGAACCTCCATCTCTCCATTCGCAGGAAAATAACGAATACCGAAGCACATAAACGGGAAAGATAACAAGAAAAGGGCGACAATGGCGACGTTTAACGATCGACTGCAAAATCGAAAACGACCCATTTCCGATAGGTATAAGATTTGTGCTTCAGATCGCTAATAAATCATCTCTCCATAGAAAAATTGAGGATTAAGCTGCGGAACTGATATGAGTAGAAGGGAGAAGATGAATCAAACCCACACACACATATACACAGATGAGTCTAGAATTTATTAATTACGTTTGTGTGTTTGTAGAGAGATTAAATTGTAGTAGTGTGGATAGCTTTCCCTCTCCCTCTCAATCGCTTTCTCTCTATAAATAATACAAAAAGTGTGTTGGGTGATGGGTGGGTGAGATGGCTAAAATATATTTATTTTGGCAACAAAATTGTAATTGAAAAGGATTTGTAATTAAGAATCGTAAGTTCATTGATAAAAACGAATTTGGTGTGTTTTTTGTATTACTTGCCTTTGAAGTTTGGAATATTGATTTAAGGATTAAGATTTAAAAGATTAATAAAATTTTTGATGTGTATATATATTTAATTGATGAGTTCAACTTATTTAAAATATACATATTCAGTCCTTATAAGTGACTATTTTAGGTAAGTCGTAAAAACTTACTTAATAGGGTAATATATTTATTACTTTGTACACATTTAATTATTAATATTTTTCTTTGTTGCAAAATAAGTCACTGTTGTTTTTATACTCATTTAGTACTTATGATCGGTTTCTTTATGTGTTTTTAACGGCATTTCACGTGAAACAATCATTAATAAGGTGTTCGGAGTCGTCGATGTTAATGGTTGTCGCGGCCTCGGCTGCTAGGTTGCTTGATTCTTGTGGTTTGTCTTTAACTCTTGTGTTCTGAATATCATAACTTCTTCATACGATCTCGGATTTTAAGGATCTTTATATCCACGTTTTCGAATTTGAGTCTACTACAATTTTCGTTTAGATTATTCCAGTTAAATGTAATATATTTTTACTTATGATCTTTATATTCATGTGTTCTTTATGAATGTATGTATGAACGTTTTTTTTTCTAAATTCGTAAGTAAAAATATATTACTTTTAATAATCTAAACGGAAATTGTAGTAGACTCAAATACAAACTCGTAGATATAAAGATCGTTAAAATCCAAAATCATATGAAGAAATTATGACGTACAGAACACAAAACTTAAGCTAAAGTACAAGACCTAAACAACAAAACAGTCGAGGCCGAGATGGCCATAAACATCAATAACCTCGAACACCTTATTAATGATTGTCACATGTAGGATGCTATGAGAAAAACCTAAAGAAACTTATCATAAATATTGAATGTGTACAACAACATGGACTTATTTTGCAACAAAAACATATTAAGGACTAAATATGCAAATATATATATATAATATATATATATATATATATATATATATATATATATATATATATATATATATATATATATATATATATATTAATGACTAAATGTGTACAAAGTGAAAAATAGATTACCCTATTAAGTCATTTTTTTCGGCTTACCTTGAAGTAGTCGGTCATAAGGATTGAATTTGTACAGTTTAATCAAGTTGAAGGGTAAATATGGACGAAAAAAATCAATGACAAAATATGTACAAATCGAAAAGTATATTATCTTTTAAGTCATTATCCATATTGACTTAATATATATATATATATATATATATATATATATATATATATATATATATATACTAGCCGTTTATCCGCGCCAAGCGACGGGTGCGAATAGTTTTTTCAAAAATTAATTTCTAAAGACAAATAGTTTCTTTCAGAATTAGTTTCTAAATAATATTAATTTGTTTGCCCAAATAGTTAAGTGTTTTACATTGTTGACAATGTTTCATCAAATTAAAATTTTTAGTTAATACATTATTTTTAGATTCAAAACATGTTTAGCTCTTTTATAGTTATTAACTTAATTACTATAAATTAATGATGAAACAACATAGAAAAGTGTTATCACCGAGACATTGAAAAATCACAAAGCAAATGAAATTTTCAATAAATATTACTCATTTATTATAAATTTATTTAGTAAAAATTACAAACTACAAACAACAAATAAATAATAAACAAATATTAAAATATTTCATCTTATAAATTAGTTTTGATACACTAAAAGCTTTTTATTGTTTTTTTAGATTTCAACACTCAGTAGCTTAAAACTTTTGGTTGTTCGTACTCATGAAATTTGAATCTTCTTCACATGGATAGTGTTGTAACGTGCCAAATTGTGTGCCTGAAATGCTTGATCATCACTGGAAAAGGCCATTGAAAGAACTGAAGTACAATTTTTGTGTATATAAACTTGGATAATTGTTAAATGAAAGAAATATCAACCCATTTTTATATATTTTTTATTATAACATCCTATTACAGTATCATGAAGGTTACCATTTTTTTCATGTGTACATGAATACCCCCTCTTCCTTTAGTATGGTAGCAATTGTCATCGACGGAAGCTCTTTTAGAGCCCACGCTCACCCCCTTTTTCTCCACCTAAGCAACTCACACCCTCTAGATACCTCCCTCCTTTCACACGCCACCACTCCACCAGAACTTATATGAAATACCACTTGATAGTTAAATATTAGGATAAATGTATGAACTTAGTAACTTATATATCCTACAAAAATATATACCATCTTTATTTGAAAAAAGAGATAAGATAAAAATTTTGCTATCAAATTCATTCATTTCGAAAAAAAAAATTCAAAATTATTATGCAACTACTTCATCACCTCAATTTTTCACTTCATTTAAAATATAATCCAACTTAATGTTGCTCAAAAGATGAATACTTGACAAAAAAAGACAAATAGAAGTTAACAATAAAATAAAATGAAAAAGAAAAAGTTTAACTCAATATGTTACTTTTCTCTTGCGAATGTTGTCAAGGACAAAAGAAAGAAATCGTTTTGACTTTTTCTTCTCCATAGACCCCAAACATTGAAAAATCTAAACACTTCTGTTGCACCTGCAAAAAAAAGGATCAATAAAAATCTATTAAAATTATAAAAAATAATCAAGAATGGACAATGAGATATAGCACTTGTTTCTAATATAATCCTTGGATCATTGTAGGCCACAAACAACAGGATTTTTCTTTGATTCAATGAGTTTGCAAGAAATATCAATTTAGTTTTTATAATCGATTTTTCAGTATAAATGTGCTTTTCGGTCTCATATATGAAAGTAAGTTAGCTCTTTCTTGCACTTAAACATTACACATTGAAAGTAGGATTCTATAATAAAAAAACAATGAAAATATGACGCTATTTCTTCCAATTAGCCCCAAATAAATTAAAAAGACCAGATACAATATGCATTTATCTATTTCCAAAAATGTTAGAAATTACAAATATGTCACCAAAACCATAAGTTACCTCGATGTCGTGTCACCGGCCCATGAGCTACTTCAGGTCACATCAGAAAGCCTATTAAATATCATCACCAAACATACAAAATTAACAATTCAAAAGGTAAGAAATATGAATGTAGTTCTATTGTTGTGACATCTTACCTTCTTTTTTTTTATCTAAAAGAGAAGTGAAAATGTAAGTTTGATTCCAAAAATTAACTGAACCAAAGGTCTAAGTTTGACTTGATCTTTCTTTTTGGATTTGGAGTACGCAAAACTAGCAGCCAACTTGTTTACTTAATTCCAATAGCAACCGAATCATGAAGACCCATTGTGAGATATCCAAAACAGGGGATGCAATGAGAGGGGTAAAACAATCAACCAGGGGAGGAAATCCAATAGGCAAGAATATATAGTTTCCTAGTTATCCACAATTTTGTTGATTATGCCTATACATTCTCTACCACGCCCTATATGCAGCAAAAACATTATTTTTGACTGATACCATCCAATTAAAGTGGTATTTGGGTCCAATTTTCCATCAGCTACATGACTATGATTACAAACCTCAGGTTGTTGCTATAACTAATCCTCAATGCAGCAAAATAGTAAACAGATTCACTGATGCAGCTGCACCCAAATGACAGGGGTATTTTGGTCTAATTTTGTAACAGTTCTGGATATGGATATCTTTTGTGATCAGTTTCCATAAAAATTATCACATATTAAAAAACTGTATTTCATAAAACCAAATATATCACGTGAATCCTAATCTTTTAATCAAATACATCATGTGAATCATCAAATATTAAAAAACGAAAAAAATGTGCATTTTATAACACCACATAATCTTTTAATCAAGACAAAATCGAACCTGAGATACCAATAATCAAGCCTGGGAAATCATAAAACCCTATTTCAAGAGTTATGAAGTGAAAAGCGCAAAAAAAAACCAACAACACCGTTTATTTAACACGTATAGGTGTTCATAAGTCCTAATCAGAAAAAATAAGAACATGATTAAAACCATGGTGTTTACGAAGCCCAAATCTGTTAGAAAAGAGGTAACATGAACATGATACGTTTACATGCGACATGGAAAACTCCAACTAATAAAAATTGACCTGGTGTTATCTTTTCCACTTTCATCTCCTGGACAAAGAGCTTCGCATAGAAGTACAATCAACAAAGCTCAAAAGACACTATAAAAACAAAAACTGCGGAGTAGGGATAAAATGGTGCCTCAATTTGGCTGATTTCACCTTTTTGAAGTCGAGTTTCCTCTTTTTAACCATTCTTGGTTCCCTACAAAAAAAGACGAACAACATAAGATGAGTGAGTGAGACAGGGAAATAAATTGAGGTCGTCGGTTTCTAGGTCTAGGGTTTTAGTAGCAATGGCTTATTGGTTGTGCGGTGGTGGAAGGTTATATGGTTCTCCGGTGACGCTCAAAGCAGTGGATTGTGGTAACAGTGTCAGTCAGCAGGTTGGGGCTAGGGTTTTCAGTAGGATTTCTAGATCGTGAAACAGAGAGACCAATAGCGGAGAAGGAAGAAGTGGTAGTGGGGATTTTGAGATCTATGATGGCGGTGAAGGTGAAGATGGTGTCAGTGAAGGCGTCATGGTGAAAGTTGCAGATCGTGGTGGCAGTCGAAGCAACAACCGAGATGAACGACACAGAAGGTGGTCGGTGGACTTCTACGGCAGATGGAATAGCAGAACAGAGGAGCGGAAGGTGGAGGTTGAGGAAGGTGTATGATGGATTTTTTTGTAGTTGTCGAGGGAGCGTGAGGTGAGGTGATGGGTTATATAAAAATTGACGACACAATCAATCCTCCTGGTTCTTTTATTGGTGCGGATATGGGTGGCTGAAGGAGGCTTTATAGAGTAGTTCCA